ATATAAATATTTTATTTTTATTTTTTTTTCGAGACAGAGTCTCACTTTGTTGCCCTGGCTAGAGTGCCATGATGTCATCATAGCTCACTCTAGTCTCAGACTCCTGAGCTCCAGTGATCCTCCTGTCTCGGCCTCCTGAGTAGCTGAGACTATAGGCCCATGTCACGGTGCCCGGCTGAATTTTTCTATTCTTTTTTTGTAGAGTTTGGTTCTTACTCATCTTATGCTGGTCTTGAACTCTTGACCTCAAGCAGTCCTCCTGCCTCGGCCTCCCAAAGTGCTAGAATTATAGGCATGAGCCACCACGCCCGACCCTGAATATTTTAAACATAATTTTGGACTTACAGATTTGCAAGAAATGTTTCAAGATCTTCACATTTCACATTAGCTTTATCTTTTTCTGTTTCTCAGAAGTAAGGAATTCCCTTACGTAATGCATAACAATGATCAAAACCAGAAACTTAACACTGACACACACTATAATCTACAGATTTTATATACATGTTGCCAGTTGTCCCAATAGAAAAAATTGCAAGATATGTCTTGCATTTAGTCATTTCTACATCTCCTTTAGTCTAGAACAGTTCCTTCTGTTTTGTATTTCACAACATTGATAATTTTGAAGAATACAAGCCAGTTATTATGTAGGATGTCTTACAATTTGGGATTGTGTGATGTCTGCTTATGATTAGATTCCAGTTGTGCCCTTTTGGCGGTAATAACCATTGAATGGACGCTGAGCTGTTCTCAGTGTTCAGAAGGCACATGCTATCAGTTTGCCCCATTGCTGGCACTGTGGTTATTAGTTAAGGTGGTGTCTGTGGGGATTCTCCACTATAAAGTTACTATTTTACCTTTTGTAATTAATAAGTATCTTGAGGGAGATAACTTTGAAACTATAAATATCCTTTTCACCCACTGGTATTAGCATTATTGATGATTTTTGCCTGAATCCGTAGATTGCTACATGGCAGTTTTTGAATTCTCCTGTTTCTTCTTCTTCTTCTCTTTTTTTTTTTTTGAGACAGAGTCTCACTCTTTTGCCCAGGCTAGAGTGAGTGCCGTGGCGTCAGCCTAGCTCACAGCAACCTCAGACTCCTGCGCTCAAGCGATCCTCCTGCCTCAGCCTCCCGGTAGCTGGGACTATAGGCATGTGCCACCATGCCCGGCTAATTTTTTCTATATATTTTTAGTTGTCCAATTAATTTCTTTCTAATTTTGGTAGAGACGGGGGTCTCGCTCTTGCTCAGGCTGGTTTCGAACTCCTGTGCTCAAACAATCCGCCCACCTCGGCCTCCCAGAGTACTAGGATTACAGGCGTGACCCACCGCGCCCGGCCTCTCCTGTTTCTTCTACATTTCTTAGTTGGCTTTCTCTACTGTAAGGAAGAATTTTCCTTTCTTTGTGTATTTATTTACGTATTTAATTTTTTATGTCAACTTGAATTTTTACTTCTAATAGATATAATCCTTTATTAGAATTATTTATTTTGATGCTCTGATTGTTCCATGTTTTGTCTTTGAACTGACTCCTATGTCTTGTTAATATGTCTTCTCATTTTTCGAAGCATCAAAAATGCTTTTTGATGTTATAAGATAATTCAAGCTCATCTTGTACATTTCCTGCTTACAGCCCTGTAATCAGCCATTTCTCCAAGGAGCTTTGATTCCTGTCAGTAGATGTACTTTTTAAGTGGCAGAGAATCATCTCAAAATGAATATCCTTGTAAATTTGCTTGTGCAATTAATAGGCCAAAAAGAGAGAGAAGTAAAAGTAATTTTGTTCCTCCTCCCTTCCTCCCTCCACCCTATTTCAAAAAAAAAAAAAAGTAATTTTGTGGTTAGTAAGTGTATTTTCTATACACTATCATTTTGTTAAAAGGACAGTTGTGCTTGGTAACATTTTGTATGTGTAATCACATTGTAACTCTTGGTTACCATTCAGAAGGTTGGGTATAATTTCAAATTTCAGGATTCATTAACTAAAAAAAAAAATCAAATTCCTGATTCCGAATATTAAGATTTATGGGAAGAAGGACATTATTTAAAAAAATTAAAACAAATAAGCAGGTATATAAAGTGTGTGTGTGTTTTTTTCCAGACGGGATATGAAAAAAATATGACCCCTGGACAAAATAGAGAACAACAAGAAAGGTAATATTTCACATACCACGAAACTTCTCTTTAATTTGTTAGGTCCATATTTGATCTACATATACTTTTTTGAAGATTAAGATTAAAGAAAAACTTGACACGAAAAAAATCTGTTAGTTTTTAAAATCATAATTGTATTCAGCTGTACATTTATTTTCTTGCCTGTTAGCAGTTCTGTTTTTTAAGTATTTAGTTAACAAGTTATGGACCAGAATAATAAATCACTTCTTTTAATTTTTTTTTTTATTTGCTAGTGGCTTTTCATACCCAAATTTCAGTTTGCCTGCAGCCAATGGCTTATCTTCTGGAGTAGGTGGTGGAGGTGGCAAGATGAGACGAGAAAGAACACGCTTTGTTGCTTCTAAACCTCCAGAGGAGGAGGTAAGGCTGTGTACTAAGTACTCTTGAGGTTTATTAAAAGCTTTGATATGGTGGTGGTGAGGAGAGACCACTGGGTAAGGGTGGGGTTTGAGGAGACACAGAGCAAAATTAATCTGTCATTGAAACAGTGTCTTCAAAATGTGTGCTGAAAACCTAACCTAATACCTTAAATATTGTGGCTATCATAAGGAAGACTACCCATAATTCTTTAAATAAAGGAATTGCAATTGAAATTATTTGACCCTCAGTATTAGTGTATAGTTTTGCCTGTTTATAAAACTTACGTAGATAAGTTTATAAGTAGAATCAATGCCGTATATATTCTTCTCACTTACCCATTTCTCCTTTTTTTGGTGATTTGTGTTACGAAAGGTAACTGTAGGTTATTTAATTTCATTGCTTATATATTTATCCAGTTTAAAGATTTACCACAATCCATTCTACCATCAGGATTCATTTAGGTTGATTTCTCTCCCTCTGCAAATGTGCAATATTTCCTCTAGGGTGTTTCCAGGACTGTAATTGTTGGATTATAGGAGATCCACGTCTTCAAATAAATGTATTAGATATTGCATATTGCTCTTCAAGGTAGTTTTGCAATTTAACACTTCCACCACATGATAGTAGGTAGGTCTGCTTTATCTTTACCCAGTGTTTGATGTTGTTTTTTGAATTTTTGCCAATATGATGGATGTGTGCTTTCCTTTGTCATTTTTATGATTAAAATTTCACCTGTGACTTCCTCAGGAGTGTTTTAGGAGTATAATTTTAGGTTTTTAAACATGGTTGTCTTCTGTTTCTATTGACTTGTCATGTTTTGAGTGAAGTTGTTGAATGTCTTAGGGTTAGTTTTCTTCATGTCTGTTGGTATTTTGTTTTGCAGGCTTTTAATGGGAGGCCTTTCTTCCTTCCTTTCCTTCCTTCCCTCCCTTCTTTCCTTCCTTCATCCTTTTCTTCCTTCTCTTTCTTTCTTTCTTTCTTTTTCCTTTTCTTTTTTTTTAGAGACAGGGTCTTGGGTCTGGCACCCAGGCTGGAGTGCAGTGGCACAACCATAGCTTACTGTGACTTGCGCTCAAGTGATCTTCCCAGATCAGCCTCCTGATTAACTAGGACTACGGATGTGTACCACTACACCTCATCCAGCTATTTTTTATTTTTTGTTGAGGGTGGGTCTTGCTATGTTGCCCACCTGGTCTCAAACTCCTGATCTTCAGGATTACTCCTGTAAATCCCAAAGTGTTGGGATTATAGGCATGAGTCACCACACCCAGCCTCTTTCTCACTTTTTGTCTCTCCTTTCTACTTAGCAGTTCTGTAGTTGGGCCTCTAGTTCACCAGAATCATGACTTCTTTGGCATATTCTTTGCATATTCTTTGCACTTCTTTGCATATTCTGTCATATTCCCTGCCTTGTCATGATATTTGGGATTATGCTAGGAGACTTGGCTCACTTGTCTGGAGACTCCATCTTTCCCTTAGGTTCTGCCTGTCCCTTTGCTGGAGTGTTGTGAAGGAAGGGGAATGTATTGGTATATACTACTGTCTTGAAAGAAATCATCAGTGTTTAATGCTGTTGATCACATATGCAGTATATAAAATTTTGTAGTTTTTGTAGCAAACCAGTTTTCTTTTGTCATTAAAACTCTTTATGTAGACTTTATTAATTACATTTAATAAATGGATTATCTTGTGTAAATAAGGAATTTAGTATTTGATTAATATAGCATGAGTTAACTTTTTTAGACAGGCTTCTACATTTCATGGTAAAATTTGTGGCCTCACATTTGTAAAGTTTTTTTTAAATCTCTGTATGAGGAAAGCTTTAGCTTGGCTTGATGTTTGCTAGTGACAGATTGTATAGATTTTGTTAATTTCCCTTCAGTTTCAGTTTTTGTTTTTTTGTTTTTTTTTTTGAGACAGAGTCTCACTGTGTTGCCCTGGCTAGAGTGAGTGCCATGGCATTAGCCTAGCTCACAGCAACCTCAAACTCCTGGGCTCAAGCAATCCTACTGTCTCAGCCTCCCGAGTAGCTGGGACTACAGGCATGCGCCACCATGCCCGGCTAATTTTTTTCTATATATTTTTAGTTGTCTGATTCATTTCTTTCTCTATTTTTAGTAGAGACGGGGTCTCGCTGTTGCTCAGGCTGGTCTCGAACTCCTGAGCTCAAACAGTCCGCCCGCCTCGGCCTCCCAGAGTGCCAGGATTACAGGCGTGAGCCACCGCGCCCAGCCTAGTTTCAGTTTTTTTTAAAGATAAAATTTCTAAGATCTTAAGCTGAAGCTCAGGTTGATATCTGTAGCTTAATTTTAGCTTTCTTGTAAATATGTGTTTAGTGTGACTTTGCTGTATTGAACAGTTTTTTGATTTTATTGATGTGTTACTTTACTTTTGCTCTTTCTGTCCGGTATACTTGAGGACCTTTATGAAAAGCTTACCCGACCCCACGTCTTTATCACGTCCCTTCTTTGGGCCCCCTCTCATCATTCTGGCCAACTGCCCCAACTGCCAATTTCGTATCCCAGGATGCCTCACCCAATCCCTTCCATCCCTGGCTCTGTTCTGTCCTGGAGTTAGTCTCCACATTTCTGAGGAAAACAGTACTAATGGGATGACTGTCCCAAATTTTCTGCCTACCTTGTGTTTATCTATATAGAATAGATTTGGTTTGGATACACACTTGCATGGTTACTTTGAATCCAATGCCACTTTTTTGTTTTATATGTCAAGTATGTTCAGACAACTAGTGTTTCCTTGTTGAGTTACAGTTAGTGGGAATTTTTGGTACAAGATTAAAGATTCATTTTTTTGTGGGTATTTTAATGGACATTTGGGAAAGGTCAAATGGAGGAGATTTATTTTCGATGGAATGTAAACAAATTATAATAATTTCATATACTATTGCTACTTAGCAGGAATTGGTGTATTTTGATTCTCTAAATTCTGGATAGTAGAACTCTATATTTAGAATAACCCATTTTGTAAGAGTGTTTTACCTTTCACCTTATCTTAGATTCCAAAACACGTGAGGATTATAGTCACCAAATGTATTGGCATTTTGCCTCTACTGTGATACCAATCCAAGTGCATTCTTTTATAATTTAAAAAGCTCATTGATACAGAGCAGGTATACAGCATATAATAAGACTGCGATTAGAGAAATTTAATTGCTTGCTGTTGTCATAGATAGTCTTGCTACTTACTAGCTTGACCTTGAGCAAATTAACCTCTTTGTACCTCATGGGAATAGGAATAAATGTATTGAGCTGGTGTCTGTAGGATGTCTACCACATAATAGCTTTATGGTATTAAGCCATATATTTCCCTGCCTCTGTTTTCTCATATACAACAATAGTATCCACTTCATGTGAGAGATAACCTACATAAATGTATTACAAAGGTATTGTGGAGTGAGTTGTCAAATATTTGATGATTGGTGTGTTCAACTTGAGGTGTCTATAAGCATGAAGTTAGCAGAATTCATGGCTTTTTTTCTCCTAGATTAGTGGGATCTGCCTATGATCTACTAAGTCCAAATTTTAGGGAACAGGAATCAAATTATAGAATCGGTTCAAGGGCAACAATACAAAGAAAACAGTGTGGCCAAGTGTGGGGCTTAAGGAGATTACACAGTTGATGTTTTTAGGCTTCTAGGCTAGAGGTTGGAGAAGGAAGATACTTCCCTACAAAAATAGCCAGATGCATCTTTTGTTTGCTCCCTCTCCTCCCAAATTGATTGTGACAAGTTTCAAACATATGAAATGTTAAAAGAATTGTGCAGTGGATACACATAGTAGCACTTGGATTCTAACATTTTATTATATTTGCTGTATCAAAAAACACCTATCTTTTTTTAGTGCATTTCAAGGTAAGTTGAAGACATCAATACACTTTATCCCCAAATACTTCAGCATACATAAAATGAACTAGAATTAAATATTTATTATTTTTTAATTTAGCAAAAATTTACATATACGAAAGATAAAATTCTTAGGTGTACCATTTAATGAATTTGACAGATGCTTACATTTGTGTAATCCAAACCCTTATGGAGATTGGACATTCCCAGAAATTTCGCTCCTTAATTCCCATCACCTCCTACTCCAGAGGCAATCACTGTTCTCATTTTTTCCACTATATATTGATGTTGCTTGTCCTCCAACTTCATATGAATACAGTTATTCAGTACATATTATTTTGTCCCTGGGTATTGTGAGTAAAGCTGCTATGAACATTCTTGTACAAGACTTTTCGTAAAAATGTTCATTTCTCTGGGGGGAGTAAATACCTGGAAGAGGAAATGCTAGGTTATATCCTAAGTGTTTTAACTTTTTAAGGAACTGCTAAACTATTTTCCAGAGTGTTTGCCATTTTACACTCCCACCAGCAATATATGAGAGCATTTTAGTTGCTCTGCATGCTTACCAATAATTGATTATCATCTTTTTAATATTAGTCATTCTGGTTTGTGTATGATAGTATCTCATTATAATTTTAATTTGCATTTTCCTGATAACTATTATAATAATATTGTGTTCTTTTTTATGTGCTTATTGGCCATTTGTGTATCTTCTTTTGTGAGGTGTATGTTCAAGTCTTTGCCTATTTAAAAATCGAATTGCCTTGTTGAGTTTTAGGAGGTAAATTCTGGACCCACGTGCTTTGTCAGATATGTGTCTTAACAGATTAATTGGGTTTGCTATTCATTTTCTTAACAATGTCTCTATCAGTAGATGTTCTAAATTTTGTGAAGTCTGGATTTATCTTTTTTTATTACTATTTTTACCATTCTTTGTGTCATGAGAAACCGTTGTCTATCCCCAGGCTACAAAGATAATTCGGTTTTGCTTCTAAAAGATTTATAGCTCTGCTTTTGTTTTCTAATTTCCCTTTTGATTTTATATTTGACCCATGGATTGTTTAGAAATGTTTTTAATCTTCAAATATTTGGGGAGAGGGTGGTCAGTGATTTCTACTTTAATTTCATTGTGATTAGAGAAATACTGAGATCATGATATTAATGTTTTGAAATGTACCGAGACTTGACTTACAGCTTAGCATATGGTCTGCTTAGTAATTCTTGAAGAATATATATTCTGTACCTTTTGGGCATAGTGTTTGTTCTATAGAAGTCAGTTAATAAGTATTTGTTAGATTTTTGTTCTTTTTTAGGGGAGGTTCAGGTGTAGTTAGTCTGCTAAATTATTAAGAGTTGGGGATTAAAATTGCCAACTTTTATTTGGTGAATTTGTCTTCCTCCCTTAATTATATCAATTTTTGTTTCATGTATTTTGAGATCGTCTTTAGAGCATACACCTTAACAATTGTTCTGTGGCTCCACAATGAATTTCCCTTTTAATATTACTAAATGTCCTTTTTAAAAAACCTTGAAAATACTCTTTGTCTTGAAGTCTACCATCTGGTATTAATATAGCCACTGTATTCTTACTAGAACAAGCCTTATGCTTACTGTTTGCAGGGTATATCTTTTTAGTTTATCTGTGTTTATATTTAAAGTAAATCTCATATAATTGGCATATAATTGATTCTTTTTATCCATTTTCTGTCTTTTAGTTGGAATGTCTAATCCATTATGGCTAATGTAATTATTGGTATGGTTAGAGTAAGGGCTTCCTTTTATCCATTATTTTCTATTTCTCACATTTGTGTTTTGTTTCTCTCTCGTTCCTTTCAAAACTGCCTTTTTGGGGACTAATTGAATATTTATTAGAATTCCATTTTAATTTATTTATTGACTTTTTATTTTTTTGAGACAGAGTCTTGCTCTGTTGCCCAGGCTAGAGTGCCATGGTGTCATCCTAGCTCACAGCAACCTCAAACTCCTGGGCTCAAGCAATCCTCCTCCCTCAGCCTCCCAAGTAGCTGGAACTTACATGCACATGCCACCACATCCTGCTAATTTTTTCTATTTTTAGTTGCCTGGCTAATTTATTTCTATTTTTAGTAGTAGAGATGGGGTCTTGCTCTTGCTGAGGCTGGTCTGGAACTCCTGACCTCAAGTGATCCTCCTGCCTTGGTCTCCCAGAGTGCTAGGATTATAGGCATGAACCAGCATGCCTGGCCTATTTGTTGGCTTTTTAGCTCTACCCCTTTGTGTTATTTATTGGTGCCTCATGGGATTATGATATCTGTCCTTAACTTTTTACAGACTCTGTTACTTCCTGTAAAATTAGTACCGCTTCTGTAAAATTTAATAGGATTGCAACTGTGTATTTAGATTTCCTACCCCACTTCCTTGGCATTTTATGCTATGCTTATTTGTATTATATCTAGCTAGGCTATCAATTCACAGTGTATACTTTCTGCTTCATATAATTATATGTATTTTAAAGAAATAAGGAGAAAAATGTTATGTTTGCTCTCACACTCTCCATTTCTTTCTGAAATCCGAGTTTCCATTTGGTATCATTTCCCTTCAGCCTGAAGAACTTGTAGAGCAGGTTTTATGGCAATAGAGAGTCTTTTAATTTTATCTGAAAGGGTCTTTATTTTGCCTTTGGTTTTTGGATCAGCTTTATTCAGGTGTGCTTTATGTACAATAAACTGCATGCATTTGAAGTATTTAGCTACTTTAGCTAGTAATGAACTTATCTGAACTCAGATTCAGTCTACTCTATGGTGGGCAGCTGAAACTCTAGTTTTATTTGGCTGTTTGATGTCTGCTTTAACACTTGTATAGTTTCAGGTCTACCAGAGATTTGGGTGGCTTATATGCAGACTCTGGGGCTCCCCTTCTGTGACTCTTCATTCCTGCATCTCCTGTAATTTTCTAGCTGATTCCTCAACTAACAGGTTTGCAGTTTTCAGTGGCACCAACTCATGAAGAGAACAGGAGGCTCGCCCAGTGCCCTTGCCATCTTCAATGTGTCCTCTCCTGTCGAGTTTCTTCTTGATTTTGGTTGCTTTCCAGTGTTTTCAAATGGTTGTTTCTTAAGTTTTTTCTAGAGTTTATAGTATCTGTTAGACTATTGGTCAGATATAAGCTACTCCGCCATTAGCAGAAGTGGAACTCTTTTTGTTTGCTCTTAATCTGGTCCATTGGAGACTTGGGGCGCTCCTTGCTCTGTTGGGTTAAAAACCAGGGTGATTCACCAGACTTCTCAGTACTGGTAGTTGTTAAATGCTTGTTTTACATACCAAGACAATACAGTAGTTTCTCCTTATCCTTGGGGATATGTTTCAAGACCCCTAGGGATTATCTGAAACCCTGGATAGTACTGAGCCCTATATCTATGATGTTTTTACATACATACCTATGATAAAGTTTAATTTATAAGCTAAGCACAGTAAGATATTAACAACAATAATAAAATAGAACAATTATAACAATATACTGTAATATAAGTTATATAAATGTAGTCTTTCTCTCCCTGATTCCCTCTCTCCCTCCCCCAGTATCTTATTGTATGTAATATTTTTGTATCATGATTGACTACTGCAGGTAACTGAAACTGTGGAAATTGGTACCGTGGATAAGGGGGCACTCCTGTATATAACTTTGTTTCATATTAATACCACAACTATGGTATAGAGTAAGGATTATTATTTTTTTTCTCATCTTTACCAATTAGGGAATTGGTGCTGAGGGCAGTTAGATTCTTAAAGTCAAATGGCTAGTGGCACAGCTGTTGATTCAGATCTTGTTTAGTTTTTCTGATTCAAGAGCCCACAATGTTAATGCTACATGGTGCCACCTTCTTCCTATTCTACATTTACCTGTAACTTTGATTTTACATGAAAGTAAGTAGAGATAAAAGAATGACATGAATGATGAAATATATCATTATAAAACATGTGTTTTAGGAAATGGAAATACCAGTATTACCGAAAATATCTCTACCGATCACCAGTTCTTCACTGCCTATCTTCAATTTTAGTTCTCCTGTGATTACAACTTCCTCTCCATCACCCATCAGTCTGTCTCAATCATTAACAAACAAGGTAAAAAAATGTTGTATAGATAGAGGTGAATTTTGTTCATTCTTCCTTATTTTTCAAAATCTAATACTGTACTCTGAGCAGTGATTAATTTTCATTATGTAAATTAATAGCTCATAGCAAGCAGAAAGAAATGGAAGTGGTGTTTTGCTTTTTAAAAAGAATGTGCAAATATCTTGGATACTTTATAAGGGAGTGTTCTTCAACTCGTTCGCAATGCATTAGAGAATGAGATTATTGTAAATTTGTTTCCAAACAGTGTTTCCAAAAGGATACTTTTTGGGCAAGAAAGGACTTAGTTTTTACTTCTAAAGTAGACTTAACATCTTTCATCCCCTCCTGAAATTTTTATGATTTCTTCTTGGCTTGCACTTTTTCTGAACATACTCTTATAGATGACATTTTTCTCCTGTAGGCAAATATCTACCTCTAAGATTGTGTATGCTCTTTTTGTAAAAGGAAGCCAGATTTGATAGCAGTTATAGTTCACTGTTTTTCAGAACTTAAAGTTATTTTTAAATCTAAAAGGAAAAAATATTTTTAGTTTTTTTGGGATAATTAATTTGCTTAAGGTCTATTGTATTGTCAGTTTTTTTTTCTAAGTAGTTCTTTTTGTGTCATTTCTTAATAATTTGGAAAACCAGGTACAGATGACCTCTCCAAGTAGCACTGGCAGTCCCATGTTTAGATTTTCATCTCCAATTGTAAAATCTACCGAGGCAGATGTACTACCTCCATCATCTGTAAGTAGCAAGCAAAGAATAGTTCTTATTTATTAATTTCAAAGCCATGCTGTGTTTTTATCAACTCTAAGGTGGCACTGGTGGTAAGAAACACTATTCTTTTTCTTGCAACTTAAAAAATATTCAATGTATAGAAAACTTTTGGAAATTATATATTATATATTATATATGTATATTATATATTCTTCACTACATGTATATACATATATGCATATGTATTGAAAGTTAAAATGCAGACATCTTGATTTCCTTAATGTTTCTCTGTGTATCCCCTAAGGAAAAAGACATTCCTTTGCATCTCTGCAATACAGTTATCATACCCAAGAAATTAAACATGATATAATAACAACATAATCCATATTCAGATTTCTGTTTCATCCCTAGACTGTCCTTTAATTGCTGTTTTCTATCTAGTGGTTGGTCCTAGATCCAATTAAAGACAAGGAACTAATCAACTAAATTAAATTGCATTTAGTTAAAACATGTCTTTTGATTCGT